TCTTTTGCATGTCGTGTGAGGGCTTCGGAACTTTCTCCATGCAGAAGAAAAAGAGCGACAAGTCATTTTTAGCTTGGCTAGAATGGTTTAAGTTATTTTGGGGGTGGTTTTTCGGGTATAAGGGTGTCTTCCGACGCATGTGTCAAATCGGTCTTTTTTGCATGTCGTGTGAGGGCCTCGGAACTTTCTCTGTGCAGAAGGAAAAGAGCGACAAGTCATTTTAGCTTGGCTAGAATTGTTTAAGTGATTTTGGGGGTTGTTTTTCGGGTATAAGGGTGTCTTTCGACGCATGTATCGGATCGGTCTCTTTGTACTTTGTTTGTGGGTCTCAAAAACTTTCTCCCTGCAAAAGGACAAGAGCGACAAATCATTTTTAAAAAAATCGTTCCAGGAACGTTCCAAACTTCAACCAGCTCATAATTGTGTGTGTAGTATGTGTGTTTACATCAGACATAAACAAATTATCCGTTAACTATTTTCTTCATGTCATATTTTGAATGTGAAACAAAGTATCTGCATCTTTGTTCAACTATTTTCTGAATTTCCATTCATAACGTCAATTTGTTAATTACTTATATTTCTTTCTAAATGAAATAAATAAATAAATAAATTTAGTTAATAATTATAAATAATTAATAATCAATTATATTATAACTAACAAACAAAAGTACGTCAATAACACAAATTTCTTCTGAATTAATATTGGAAGTGATGAAATTTTATTATTGGTAAGCTAAACTGTTAAAATGTATTATTATTAAGTTTTTCTCCAATTTAATCTATTAATGTTTATAGTCATGTTTATAGTCATGAGTTTATAGTCATAATACTATTGATATTGAAGACAATAGCCATACCGCGGAATACTTGCTAAATTTGGCAGTAACTTCAATCAAAAGCTGTCAAAAACATGGTTGTAAAGTTAGAAGCTTTGTGACTGATAATGCAGCAAACATGCATAAAATGAGAGAACTATTAGCAAGGTGTGAAGAACTTGGCATGCCTGATATTATTACTTATGGATGCTCGGCACATATTTTAAATCTTCTTGCGCACGACATTGAAATTCCAGGAATAAAAAATCACATTAAAAAAATTATGAAATACTTTCGAAACACGCATTTTGCCGCTGCTAAGTATAAACAAGCAGGTGGAAAAGCTTTAGTGAT